CACTCGGGAAACTTTCAAGACTCCCGGATTGTTATGGGGCGCGAAACTTTTCCCATCGCCATGGTATGGCATGCTCCCAGGTGTTCGCTTTTCTTTTCTAACGTTTTATGTGAGCACTAACATCTGGCCATTCATGCCCCCATCGAACGCAATTAATGTGCCTCCCAGACGGCCATAAGCTCTGAACCTGAGTGGATGTGACGGTGGTTTAGTACTGTGGCTCTCTCGTTTCATCTGAAATTCCCCCCTATAACCCATATAGCTCTTAACAAAGGCATTTCGGCGCAGTTCGGCTTCGGGTGGAGGGGGCATTCTACATTCTCCATCGACGTGGTCATTGCTTTACAAGAGTTAACAGGTATTGACAGGTAGTCTTTATGAAATTTAGCAAGTAGTCTCTACAAGCTTTCACTGGTATCTTTTGAAGCTTCACAAGATTTCACAGGTCTCAGGTTTCACAGGTCTCTATTTGATGACTCGACTCGTTGAGGGGAAGTACACTAAAATCCCTGATATGCGGTAGGCGTGGCTGCGTCTTGGATTGAACGGCGCGGCGGCTAAGTTTTTATATTTTGATATTATTATATTGAGATATTTTGATTGCGGAACGGTTGTAATCGTGTCTTTGTACAATGACAGCTGCCGCAAACTGAAATATCCCACGAGTAACCGACCTTAAGCCATGCTTGAATGCCACGCCTACTCCACCTCAGGGATAAGGGGTGTAGGAAAATTGCAAAATGGCTTCTCTCCCACCCCCAACCCGACCTGTGGCGGCATTTTCACCGCAGGATTTCAGTTAACGTTTTGCTAGTGCATTCCCGTTGACTCCGCGTTTTCTATTTGATTCAGTGAGGTCTCAGAGGTGTTCTGATGTCATCTGGGTACTTTCATTCACTGAGATAGGAGAAAGCAATCAGCTAACTCCTATCGCAAGCCTCATTTCAATTAAGATTTACCCTCTCCCTTTCATCCCGGGTTTCGTGCTCCATTACCTTTTGCTCCTTCTAGCATCGCATTTATTGTTTGTTTGTCGAATTTTCCGACAATAAAAAACAGCGCTTATCCCCAAGGAGGGTGAATTTGAATGATTCCTTGGGCTAAATTGAGATTACCACCATGAAAAACCCTTGTTGCGCAACGAGCTTAATTCGCACACCCTGAAGCCCTTTCCTCGCTGGCTTATGCAAAAATGCTCATTCTTCACTGCGCCTGAAAACCTTGTGAAAAATTCTTGCACAGCCTCATTATCAGAATGCTCAAGGTTTCCACGGAACTGATGATTATTATTTCACATCTTTAGCTATCCTAATGGTTCTCAGAGATGCACAGTTAAATTTTACTTTAAGGGCTCAACCGCGTATGGGGGGGGGGGGGGGGGGAAGAGGGAAAGGTAGTATATGTAGATCGCAGTGGGCAACCTTGTACCAGTTTCGGGTCAAAAAGCTAGTAAGTAGAGCGTCAAGAGACTGATGAGGGTATATCCCTCAGTAGTGAATAGAAAAAAGCAACCCGCCGAAAATGCCCCATATAGAACCCCGTGCTGATCCGCACTTGGACATGCATGAATGGCGAAAGAAAGGGTGCGCGGTCAGCGAGTTCTCACCTGTTAGAGCCTGCCGCCTGCTTATTCTCCTTATCACCTCACTCTCTCTATTCGAAATGGAGTGGAACAACCGCACCATCAGGTAGCAGTGAAAAGTGAAATCTGAAGGTTACCGTGGCCAGTGGGCGGAGCCGCGGCTTCTTTGCGAGTGGGTGGCGCTTTCGCTACGTATTTTAGAGTTGCGAAGTCCGAAGAAGAAGGTGCCTGAACATAAAATCAACGCAGAAGGAAGGTGCCTTCAAGGTTGGCCAGATGGCCCACTTTGGCGTTCGGCTTCTCCCTTTCTTGTTCTTGTTCGTTTCCGCAACGGTGGCGTACTCTCACGTTCCTGTCTGGTTGCCAACCCTGAATCCCAAGCAGATCTTTCTCTTCTCTCTGTAGTAGAATAGCTCCATTTCAAGACGTTGTAACGGTTTCCTCTTTTTTTCTTCACTGGTGAATCAAACAGGACAAGCGTTTTGTTTTTCCGTCCCTCCGCCTACACAACGAAATAGCCCCCGAAATTCCTAGTTACAGGTAGAGGAGTCGGTCAGGACTCACAATGCCGACCGGCGTCGCACTGTTGTGTGTGTGTGTGTGTGTGTGTGTGTGTGTGTGTGTGTGTGTGTGTGTGTGTGTGTGTGTGTGTGTGTGTGTGTGTGTGTGTGTGTGTGTGTGTGTGTGTGTGTGTGTGTGTGTGTGTGTGTGTGTGTGTGTGTGTGTGTGTGTGTGTGTGTGTGTGTGTGTGTGTGTGTGTGTGTGTGTGTGTGTGTGTGTGTGTGTGTGTGTGTGGTGTGGTGGTGGTGTGTGGTATTAGAGCGGAAGGGAGGGTGGGAAGGACAGTTGTGACACCTGTGTAACCATTTTCCAAAAAAACCTTGGGCTTTAGAACGCAGTCGTCGGCCTAGAATATGTAGTCCCGCAGAGAAGACGTTGTTTTCATTAAGCCTCAGCCTTGCTTAGAGGAAATGATACTTGGGCGCTGGCGAGTAATCCTCACAACAGCAACGTTAGCGCCCGAAAACCTAATGGTTCAGTCATTTGGACGAGTTATCTCACTTGATAGTCATGCACCACAACCTGTCGGAACACTAAACGGTAATGTAACTGCCATAAACAACCGTCTCCTCGAATAACGTAAAGGGACAGGGGTCCTTGGTCCCGCAACGATTGGATGGTTATCACAGAAAACTCGTCCTTGACTTTTTGTGGTGTAGATTTAGGGACGAGTAGTGTTATGCAGCTAGTCATACCCTGATTTTTTATGAAGTCACTGTGGGTTTACCGAAAATGGTTTTTAGGTCAAATGGGTTGGTTAGGTGGTAGGTTGGCCATAGCGCTAGGATATCAATTAATGACCTGCACTTTTGGTCTTTTTGCAAGAGCGCAGTTCATTTCGCAGCCATCGAGGTTTCGATGAGTGGTTTGTGTGCTCACCAGGTTTCTTTTGTTCTGTTTCGACGCCTCATTTATCCTCTTCAGGTTTTTCCTGGGCGCAAATCCCCTGAGACATGACAACTCGGTCAATAATCACTGTTTAAGTCAATTCATTGTTTTAATACTTTTTACATCGCCGTTGCTGAGTTACCACTTCAAAAGGGTACTCATTACTTCATCGGGGTGAAGTTCAGGGCTGTTGTTTCTCATCAGCTGTTGTCAGTCTGCCCACTCATTCTTCCCACTCACATCGATCGATATTTATCTGCTCCATACTCCACGTGCTTCATCTGTTGATTCAGATAATGCCCAAAAGATGACTCATCCGTTCGTTTTTCCCTTTTCTGTTCGCTTTTCCCGTTCCGATAACGACGTCACAAGGGGGCGGTATCGAAGCCTCAGGATGGGACGAGTTTAGTTGGTGTCGTCCTCGTGAAACAGCGTCTTCTTCCACGAAACCTCTTCCATTCTATGCTCTTCAGCCTTTTCTTTTCTGGTGGTTTCCATATCCCAATTAGGCTCAAATTACATTGTCATATTCGTGTTTTTGAAATTCGAGACCAGTATGCTCGTAATTTCTTCCCAGAAGCTTCATCGATTGCAAGATACTTTTTGAGGAAGCATTTTCTGACTTCCTGAGTTACTTTTGATCTCTTCGGTTGTGGTTTTAGCGCTATTGCTAAATAGTGGGTAGTTTGTTAATCTCTGTCAATATGCTGGGCCCATCGTGTAAAGTACTGCAAACTCCTGTAAAACTACGAAATGATAGGAGCTCCATTTTCGTCATACATTTCTCCGATTTCTTCTTTGCTGGGCGGCATCTGATATCGGAAGGAGCAAAGAACATTTGACTGCGAGCCAAAAGGTAAGAATTTTGACATAAGCGCTGTGGAAAATAAGCCACTATGCGTCGGTTGGAGTTTTCCAAATAAACTACAGTACCTGTTTTCGTTGCGGGACACGTGAGACTCTGACTTTCGTGAGGCTCTTCCGGTTCTTTGGTAGCTGTTTCAAACAGGCGTTCTTCTGCGTGAGAGGTGTTTTCAGGGCAGGAGGAAGAGGTGACAGGGGTTGCAGGACTGTACAAAGTAACCCTTCAGGTTGACAGCGAACAAATTACCACCTGATTACATTAGGGGTTAAGGCTCCTCTTTTCATGTCCTAACTCTTTCTAGATTGATTTTGATTTTCCTGACATTTTCCAAGGTTGATTTTTTTTCTTTGTGAATGTCGAGCGCCGTGGAAATATATCGATTATTACGCTTCACTAGTGCCCTGCCTCATTTTGTAGTTTTTAGGCCAAATGCGTCTCACATATCGGACATTAGGCCCATTTGTCGGTGCCATTGCTAAGAAGCTCGAACATTACAGGTAATTCCCCTGTGTGATTCACTTATTTCTTTTATTTTGATTTTTTATTCCCCTGTGTGATCACTTATTTATTTTATTTTGATTTTTTTTGTACATGGTGAGCACAAGATCCAAGGTACAAAATCCCTCACTTTCAGCCAGTTCCAACCATCATCGCTTTCCATACAGCAATATCTGGATTTTGGCCGAATTGGTACCGCTGCCACATCATACACATTTTTGAAGAATGAACTTATGGTGCGGCTCGCCAATATTAGGCAGGTTCGGTGCTCCGGTGGAACCTTCTTAATTTCCAAGCATTAACAAAATGTCATTTATTAAGGAGTTTTCTTTACTGCCTCCTAAATTACTACAAATGCCGAGTTCTAAACTGGTCAGCAGTTGGTATTGCGAAAGTTTCGAGGACCTGTTGAAGTATGAGAGTGCTGCTGCGTCAACGGAAAATATAGAGGCGTATGTTTCATTCGTTTCAGTAGAAAAAGAAAGTAGTTTTTATTGGAAAATTTGCTTTTTGTCCATTGCAACTGTCTGTCAAACGCACTTTTGATAACTAGCTGACTACATTCCAATGAGGTTTTTCATGCATTCCAGAGCCTATCATTATAATTCATCTGTAATCTATCCGAAGTGTTCTGCACTTCTGGCCACTCTCGATAGGGCACAGTCAGCCAAGGGGTTGTTCAGTTATGTCACCCTGCCTGGCCTTTTGCTGCAGACGTGCCGGCTCTTGTAAAGCTACAAATTTTCACATGCTTCATTTCCAGGAGTTCTTCGGCTGTTGTTGGAGCGTCATTTGTAGTAAGGATCGTTGCATACTTGCGTCTGGCGTATCGAACGACTCAAAAAGTATATAATCGGCTCAGCGTTTCGAGTATCCACCAGCGTCTTTAGCCACTAAGAAAGTATAGGTATCGATTGTCACTAAAAACGCTGGCGTTGCTCCAGACGTCTGGATCAGATATTCATACTTTTCTTAGTCAACCTAGCGCTTAGACGTGAAACGAACGCTCGGAAACGTCTGGCTGCAAGTATAACTGGCGAAGTAATGACTGGCGTGACTGCGAAGTATACTGACAGTAGAAGCTGCGACTGGAATAACGCTTGCTGCTATGGAGGGTGAGGTTTATTAAACATAAATCCAGAGGAAAGAGCTACGCGGTGTGTGACATGTTACTTGGGTAGCGGTATCTTATGGTAGTACGTATCACGCTCATAGAAGCTCGAAAGACTCTACAAACCTGGCCGATATGTTAAATGGGGTTTATGCAATGCCCCCAACCCCCTCTCAGCAAATTTGTGCCGTTCTGTCTTGAGTATGTGTGTTTTTTTTTGCTACCTGTCATAGAGAAGAACATGTGTCTTTTAAAGTGGTTCTCAGGGAAAAACTGGCATATAAAGTCATTATAAAACAAGAAGGCGTTTGAGATAAGTGCAAACTCTCATGCGTTTTGTGCAATCTAAGTTACGTCGTTTGTTTTGAGCGTTTGAGCCATTGGAAACTACAGGAGTGGATCAAGCGTTTTTGGTAAGCATTATGTACCGATCGATACCTATACTTTCCTAGTTGCTCAAGATCGCCAACACCACTCAAAAGTTAACGAGGCGCTCAAAACGCTGCAGCAAAGCATGAACTCACTCTGAATGCAATTCTCCTGATGCAGTTACCTTCAACCCTGAAGATATAAGTTTTCAGTTTCAACGAACAACTTCAGACAATTTTGAAGAGACATGCTCATGTCGTTGAAACAATGGCGGAGGGCCTCATCGAGTTGAGGGAAACCGACGGTGTTGATATCGCCAGTGAAAAAGGTTCGTTCAAAGAAGCTTCTCTAATCCCAATAACGAAGAAATTATTGGCCTTGTTTCAGGCATACAGTACTTCTTGGATAGGTTTTATATCAATCGTATTTCCATACGTATGCTTCAGAATCAGCATTTGGTATGTTATTTTTTATGTTAGTAATTGTTTTGATTCAGTTCTCATGTTTTGTTTTGTTATAATTTATGCGTATTAGAAACAACGGTGTTGGAATTTGCTGTTCGACATCAATAGTTTTCAATAATTTTGTCCCCGGCTTGTGCCCTATGTAAATATTGGAGGGGGGCCGTCAATATCTTCACCCGCATACGCTCGACTGGTGCTGATAGTGGCTGATAGCAGCTGTACTTCCCCTTCGTGGCTAATTTGGACCAGAGTTTTCTGTACATTACCCTCACGTACTGCCAAAACGTAGCCCTTAACTGGTCGAAAGTTTCGATTTCGGGTTGTGCCTCCGAATTCGAATCATGGATAAGTAGTGTGCGCGTCAAGAATTTTCGCGAATTCGTAATTGCGTTTGACGTTGTGACGCGTTCTGACGCATTTTACTTTTTCCTCAAACTCTGGAGCAAATTGGGACGTTTCGTAGTTCCCGGTGTTGGACAACACCAACGATGGTGCGTGCATCAGTTGAACAAGATGTTCTGTTGAGCGCTTGAGCTTTCGATAAATTCAGCTTATCGATACTTAGGGAGTAATAGGGCGCCAGTGCGTCAAATGTGTCCCTGACTCATTTATAAGTTGTCATGGCGCTGTTCGCCTGCAGGGGCGGAAGGGGGGGGGGGAGCAATGAGAAGTGGTTCTAGTGAGCCGTTTCGGTTACAGGACTTTACAGGTTATCGCAAGGTTTCGTATAAGCTCCGGAGCATTTGGTGTCTTACGTTACGAAGTCAGCGCCGCTCTTCTTCTTACACTGCGTCATAAGTCCTACGAGGCGATTTTCCTCTTATCTGGACAAGTCGGAATGCTTCTTCTATTTTTGAGCTTAAAAGGAGTCAGTTCATCAGAAGGCATAATTTGGGCTCCTAAAAAACATTATTCAAGTGTTCTTGCGGAAAAGGCACGTCATACGCTGGGGATCCCCAGCAAGGAGAGATCGAATTTGGCAGAAAAATCTTCCAACCGCAGGACGTGCCCTGATTGCGGAGACGCTTCTCAGAACTAATCTGATCCGTTTGCTTCATTTTAGTCACTTTTACATAGTTAAGGTCGTATTCGGAAATGTTCTTCCGGAAAGCCCAAGGCATGTCGGCTGCATCGATCCAGCATGCGATGTCGAAAGTGTTGTTCATGATGCTTTTGAAAATGCAAGGTAAGCCCGAGCTCGTCAATTTCGTTGATAGTGTAATTTTTTTTCTTTGGAATTTGGTCTTAAGTTGAAATGAGCTGGCCTTGCTGCGTTTTATGAAACTTCATTTTACCGTTTGTGTCAGGACATAGGACAAGACCAGTAATTGTTCCTCAAGGCGAGGGTCAGAATGAAGAATGTGATCAGGGGGGAAATGTTTTCGTTCCCAAGAACCTCTTTACCTCGCGGCCTCCCGAATACGCCTAGAATATCTTTTTTGGATTCTTCACGACTTGTGACTTGAAAAAAACTCGGATCAGCGGCTTTGCAACATGTATTCCAACAGGCGAAAGATGTTGAAGTCGGACGTAGCTTTATGTAGAGGTGAATCTACAAGGGGTGATGAGGAAGTTATTTCAGTGGGGGGAGTAGGGGAGTTTTACTTTCTTCCTGTTTTTTTTGAGCAATTGGTTTGAAAATTGAACTTCTTAGGAGAACAGGAGCCAGTAGACTTTCCAGACTGCGAGCGCACAACTGGTGCTAGTTCTGCTAATCGAAAAAACATCATGAATGAGATCAGACCAATTCCCTTTTATACCATCTTCAACTTTCGACGCTTACTAGGGTCAAAAGGCAGCGATGATTTACCACGGGAATGCCGAGTTATGGGCAAAAGTCTCCCTGACCAGAATCGCACACTTCGCTTTGCGGGCGAAGACGTTATCCATTGTGCCACTAGGGCCGCTCTTACCTTCTAAGCTTAATGCTAAGGTCATTGCATGGAAGTCGTTAAGGACAAACCCCGCGACTGCATACTGGGAAAGTGATGTTTGAGCACAAACCTGTAGTAGCTGAGTGACTCTCCGGGGAAGAAAAACGCAAAAAAATATAATGCAGAACACCCCAAGTAAGAGGACCTGTGAGCTTCTCTGAACGAGCTTCACGGGCCTGCTCGTTTCATGCCGGCAATAGCGCTATCCTATCCCTTCTGGCTCATCAGTCGCTTCTTCATGTCATCCGATGGTGGTACTGTTTGACAGTGGAAAAAAAAAAAACAAGATGTACAAACAGAAGTCGTGAAAGAAAATAGCTTTTGAATTTCAGGGACAGGGCAGCTAGGGAGGCGTCAGAACTGCTTTTTCTGAAGGCCATAGCGTCTTCGCTGTTTACTGATCTATTACCTTCGAGACTGGGGTCAGTCTACATGTATAAGGAAGGACTCC